TTTTTTTTTCTTTCATATGTGCTTATATGGGCTCCTTATATCATTTGGTTCTTTAGTGTGCTTTTGTCTCTAGAGTTTAGGTTCTTTTTTGGAAAGACATCTAAATTTATCCTGAGAAAAGCTTGGAGAAAATACAGATTTTTGAGAATCACCCTTCAATCTTTTGGTTTACTTTGCTGAATATAGCAAATGATGACAAAATAACCATTTGAAAGAAGATAAATGGTCTATGCTTAATTTCATGGTGTGCGATTAATCGCGATTAATCACAGAAAAAGGGTGTAATTAATCTGATTAAAATTGACATCTATTGACAGCCCTAATATACAGTATATATATATATATATATGTATATATATATATATATATATAAATATATAAATATTTACCATGAACTGCATAGGTCCCAAATTATGCCTAATTATTGAAACTGACTTATGCTTATAGTTTGTTGTTAGTTAGTCTGTTTTGTTTTATTTTGTTTTGTTTTGTTTTGGGGGTTTTTGTCGTTTCTTTGTTTGTAAATATTAAGTTTGATAGTATCGTGCTCTCAGCAGCCAATTTTATTTATTGCATAAACTGTTTATCCTCATTGCAATTGAAGCTTTATTTATTTGTTTGTTTGTTTGGCTTTTTCACCTTTAAATGACAGTGCAGTGGAAAAACAACAGGTCAGATATCTGTATTTAATATAATCTGTTTTGTTTTGTTTTGTATTTGTTTGTTTTTTTGTTTTTTGATCAGAACCTTTCACATCAAAATATATGGGAATCAAACATATAATGGGAAACATTTTAAAAGTTGATAAACTTTTATTTTGCTGTCCTACCCATATCTATGATTATTGCATTTTATTATTTGCATTTAGCATTGTTTTTCCCTATTACCGTATTGGCCCGAATATAAGACGACCCTGATTATAAGACGACCCCCCTTTTTCCAGATGTACCTTTTGGAAAAAGGCTTTTTAAAAACCAAATCTTGTTTTTTCTCAGTAAAACACATTTTGTCTTCAATTATTTTCATATTGCATATTTTTCCTATTTTCATTTTTGTTTTGAAAGTGTGGTAAAAACTGGTAAAATGTACCAACAATCACATTTAAAAAAACTATACACTTTTTGATATACCATTAAAAAAAAAAAACAGGTAGCCCATCTGAATTAGGACATTTAGGCTATCCATCTTATAGCAGCCTACCAAAATCTTATTAACAGTAGAAGTAGAGTTGGTCCCATCGCGATCGTTTACTCGCGATCTTTACAACATGCATTACATTATGTATTTCATGGCACACTCATTTTATGCGTATTTGGCGCCACCTAGTGTTGTGGGTGTATTATTGACATGTCAAAGTCTAGACCCTGAATATAAGACGACCGCGTTTTTCCAGATGTATTTCCAAGAAAAAAACATCGTCTTATATTCGGGACAATACGGTATTCTTGGCCCACTAGTTAAGAACTATTGTTACATTAAACATTAGCTGTTTCCTTACAGAGTAGCTAATGCTGTTTATCCTCCTTTGGGAAACATGACGTGTGTTGTCTCTGTTCTAGCCTTCCAGCAGCAGTGAAAGAGCAGCCAGTCTGTTTTCTCCCTAGAGAACAGAAAGCAACTTGAATGCCAAAGCGTATGAGAGAAAATCGTGATGCTTTTGTTCCAGGCAGTATTTTCTTTCAGGTTAAGCTTCAGGCTAGATCCCTCTGACTCAGGTTAAACGGGGCAGCCCTCAAAATTAAGCTCTGAATCTTTTGCGTTGGTGATCTTCAGGGAATGCAAAAATGTGGAAGCGGAGTTTACAAAACAAGAAATGTCATATATTTAAATGAGAAAGTTATTATTGTTTTTATTATGCCTAAACAGGATCTAAAATGTTTTTTATTTGCCACACCTGCCGGTGGTGGGTGAATTAAGAAAATTTACTGACTACAAAAAGTTCTTGCATTTTAATTTAAAAAATATATATATATATGTTTTTAATATTCTGATTTAATTTTTTATTTTTTTTTATTTTGATGCACTTCACTGTTTTGTTTAATTAGATGCTCCCTTGAATGAAAGTGAAAGCTTATTTTATTTTATTTTATTTCATTTCATTTTTATTTAAGTGAAAGCTTATTTTATTTTATTTTTGACCAATAGCATTCACAGCACCATAACAACCAGTGTTTTGGTGAAGTGCTAGTGTCGATGAAGAAAAATCATAATTTTGTTGCTCATAATTTCATTTCGTTGGTGTAATGTGAGGAATATTTAATGTATATGGCATCACACGACATAAAAACTTAAAATTAGATGAATATTTTAATGATAAAAAAATTCCACTAAGGTAAAATTTTGTGTTTTGTACCTTTTTGTTTTATTAAACCAGTAAATTCATTTTTTATTTATATTTGCCCTTAACTGGTACGTGTTTATTTTGGACACTCAACATGGATTTGCACCACCGAATCGACTGCAAGTAATTTGTTTTTAAAGAAATTTCTTGTTTTGAAGGAACTTGATTGGATGCTGGTGTTCTGATGATCCTACGAAGCTCCTTAAACAATTTAACTAGTCACTTCACTAAACAACCCCAATGTTGGTTCACCACCACCATCTAGGCTAGTATTTATAGCAAAGAAAAGCAAATTATGATTACATTTTCATTCTGATCAAGAAAATGAGGAAGTGTTGTGATTGACAGTAGACGTTAACATTTTGGACACGCAGACCCATGGCGACTGCAGTGGTCGTGGCACCTTAAATACTTTCTTGCGGTACATTCTGTTCCTCTGCCCCACGTTCTGCATGCTAAACAGAGCCCCATACGGGCCAATTTGCAGCAGCCAATTTACCAATGTCGCTTTGAATTTGCTGGAAGTAAAAAAAGGCAGAGAAGTGCTTGGAGCTTCATGAAATGGGAAGTCTGGGACGGCTAAAACCTTCACCCACATACACATACGCAAATGTACGAAGCCACACGCGCTTAGAAAAGTACAGATTATCTGTTCGTCATGCGTCCAGATGCGGTAGAGAGTCCCAGGGGGTTAGAAAGAGGCATTTCTGACAGGGATGTGACAGGGCTTAATTAGCCGCTGAATTTAGGAAACGTTTTCTCTAGATTGTTGTCATTTAAATACATTAAGACGCATTTTTGCTAATGCTAAACTGCTTATGTTCACAGCCATGGATTAGAGTGACACGCGAATAAAAAGCTTGAATGTGTCACTTCAGAAGAGCTAAAGTAGGCTAGCATGTAGCTATGTGTGAGATTATCGCTGAATGGGCTTTTTTAAACATCCTGACTAACTAAATGCTAAGAAATTCATGCTAATCTTTCAACTTTTTCCTCACATTGTGATGCTAATTATGTCAGTTGCGTTGAAGGAATGCTAAATGCTAACCAGTAGCATTTTCGCTAAAGTCTCAGGCTCTTTTCTGTACCTCAGGCTCTGTTTCTGTCTCACGGCAGATACTGAGGGTTGCGAGCACAACTGGAGGAAGTTTCATGGCCACTGCTACAGGTACTTCACCCGCAGACACACGTGGGAAGACGCGGAGAAGGACTGCAGAGAGCACAGCGGTCACCTGGCCAGCATCCATTCCACACAAGAGCAGGACTTCATTAATGGTCAGTATCAGGGTTCATCCCAGACAGAGTCACAAATACACTTCTGTAACTAAAAAAAATTAACTGTTAGCAGATGCGTTGACATTCAAACGTTTGGGTTTAGTAAGATTTATTGTTTCTGCTCACTAAGGCTGCATTTATTTGATTGAAAATACAGTAAAACAGTGATATTGGGAAATATTATTACAATTTAAAATAACTGCTTTCTATTTTAATAGATTTTAAAATGTAATTTATTGCTGTGATCAAAGCTGAATTTTCAGCAGTCTTTACTCCAGTCTTCAGTGTCACATGATCCTTCAGAAATCAGTCTAATATGCTGATTTGCTGCTCAAGAAACATTTCTTATTATTATTAATTTTGAAAATAGTTGTGCTGCTTATCATTTTTGTGGAAACCGTGATTTTTTTCTCTCTCTCAGAATTCTTTAGTAAGAGCAAAGTTAAAAAGAACAGGGTTTACAAAAGTTATTTGTAACATTATACTGTAAATGTCTTTAATGTCACTCTTGGTAAATTGAATGCATCCTTGCTAAATAAAAGTATTATTTCTTTAACAAAAATAATAATAATTCTGACCCCAAACTTTTAAATAAATATGAAGTATGCAATTACTTTTAAATTTTAAAAATTAGTATTTTTTATTATTTGATACTCATATTTGGTACTCATATTTTCATTTTTGTGGTGTAATGTGATGAAACTTTTGTGTATAATTTGATAAATGATTTTATATGATAAAATTTCCACGTAAAATATGTTTGTATGTACCTTTTTTTGTTTTATTTAGCCACCAAATCCAGTTTTTATTCACATTTACCATCAATAAGTGTCAATTTTAGACATGTTAACATTGATTTGCTGCACCAAATCAACTGCAAGTCATTTGTTTTCACTTAACATTTGCAAAAAATGTCCCTCTGCTTAAAATCATTTGCAACCGACTAACATGTAGCAAATCACGGTTCATGGCTGTAACATAACTAAAGCTTAATATTAATTTTTTTTTCATTATTGCGACATGTGGCCAATTCAAATTCACTCTCATTAAACAGAAACCAATTCTTAAATTCTGTATTTTGCTGAACCCTGTTCTTCATGGGATATAAAACAGCAAATGGCCGGTATCTGCGGCTAATCTTTGTCTGTTTTACCCAATTAGCTTTGACTAAAACTATTTGCATAGCCTAGATTCATTAATATCCAGCCAGATAACTAAGAAAAGCGACAGGATGCTGACCTCCTGTACGCCACAGATTGCATTATGTCTCCCTCCCCTAGTCGAGCCTAAATCCAGTGCTAAATGACGCTCTGTGTGGCCTCTCACAGCATGCTGTCTGCACACAGGGCCACGGCGCTCACCAAAAAGTGTGTTTAATCGCCTTGAAAATGGACATCTCCACCCCTGCAATAAAGGGGGCACAGGCATTAGGAAGATTAATGGGCCCTGTAATGATGTTAATCAGTAAGACCATGATTGAAATTCCATTACAGCCAGACCAAAAAAAATAAAATAAATCCTCGCAAATGCATCTTGGGACGATCTGATGGCTTCTGGCTTGAGCTTGAATTGTGATTGTGATAACAACATCATTCGGCTCCCAGTGGCCCTGTAGGAGACATAAAGCAGACTACGACTTAAAGTGGAAGCATTAGCTCTGCATTTTATGACACTAAGACTCTATTTACTCATGGTATTAACCTGGTCTTCAGTGGTTGTCTTGGTTGCTGGTTACACCTGGTATCAATATGAGTGTTTTCATCAGATATATGGTGAAATAAGTGTGATTAAAATATGTGCTGGAAGTAAAAACTTCTAAATGAATGCAAATCATGTATGTTTTTAATGAAAAAAAAAAGGCATTTGAAATGTCTTGTGCTTTTTCATGAGAACGGCAAATGGAACGATGTGCCCTGCAACTACAACCTGCCCTACATCTGCAAGAAAGGCACAGGTGAGCGGAAGAGAGGGGAGGAATTGGGAAAAGAGGACAAATACTGTACCGTCTGGCTTTCTACCACACTGTACTGTTTCCTCCAGTGCTGACCTCCTTTTGTTAACTTTATTCACACGTCTTCATGAGATGTTCCTCATATGCATTTATATACGCATACGCATACGCATTATATATGCATACGCCTTTCACAATACAAATCGTTGCAAAGCAGCTTTACAGAAAATTTTAAGTTTCTACATTATATTTAGTAGTAGGTTATTAGTGGTGACAATGGCAGAAATGTACAGTAAGAATCATGCAGTTATTACAAATTACACGTAATCAAACAGAGAGTGAACACTATTAACTGCAATGATTAGGGGAGAGTGGGGACGGTTTCAACACTTTTTGCATTTCCTTTTAATGTTTATCTATCCACAAATGAAAGAATTTTATATATATA